CTTTTGAGGAGTGGGACAAATTGTTATAATTCTATGGAAAAGAGATCGGAGCTAAGATGCGTGCTAGTTTCATACGACCAGTTGAAGTGGCACAAGATTTGCCTCTTGGCTTATGAAAAAGTATCAAAAAATATTAAATTTAAATATTTGTTTCATGTCAAGTAAGAAACCATGACATATGTATTTGGAATATATTCTATTTTGAGAAGTCATTAATCAACCATGACTAGATACGTGTTTTCTACGTATTCATGGGAACATGTTTGATTGATTAAGGAAACTTCATTTACTCTTTACAAAAAAAAAACAATAAGATTTTTTTATCCCCTCCAAATCTCTTTTCTTTCAGTCTCTTTCTCTCTCGCTTTCTTCTTTTTCTTTTTTTTTTTATAAACAAGTCAACATAAGATATTAAACATTGTTTAATAGTAATTGTTCAAACATGAGGAGAATGGAAAAAAGGAGAATTTGAAGCTAAAAGAATTCTACTCTAACAAATTTAGGCATACTGAATTTGTGCACCATATTTGTTACTATCAAATTTGTACCTCAATTTAAGTAAAAGTTAAATTAATAATTATTAAAAAAATTCTTGTGACGTAGAACGTGTCACGTTATTGATTCACAATTTCAGTATAATAAGCTCATACGGTTGTCAAGTATGCATATTCACACACTGTATTTCCAATTTCAAACGGCAATCGAAAACTTGGAATCTCCACCCTGGAAGCCGGATCCTCGTCGGATTTTCTTTGTGAGGATTCAGAGATTCGTAAATCATATTCGTTTATCGTATATCGTGCGGTTAGAAATTATTTTAAATATTTTTATTTAAAATTAAACAAAAACAGTACTTGATAAAATTTATCACGATGTACGATGAATGAACATGTTTCACAAATCTTTAAGATCCACACCAAAAGAATCTTGTTGGCTCCACCCTAACCCCATGGCAATTGCAAGAAATAATAATATTTTACACTTCCCCAACCACATGCATCCACATACTGTAAAACATGTTCATTATCCTCTGGAGACAAGTCAATGCAAATAAACCAGCCATTCGCCAAATCTTTTTCGCGATGGGAGCCTACGTAATTGAGCACCACACTCATCAGTATTCTGGTTCGCTTTCTCTTGCCGAATAACAGATAATTACATTTAAAAAGTTCCATATTCCATTCCATCTGCATCTCTGCCAGCCTGCACTCTGCCTCTGGCATGTAATTTTCTGTTGAAATTTGGACAAAAATTGGTGAAAAAGATTAACCCTTTTGCTTAATCCAGTTGCTGGGTTTGCAGCTTGGGTTTTTGTAAATTTTGGGTACACCCCAAAAGGACAAGAGCAAAACAGAGTCCAGAAGCCATGGCAGAAGATGATATGCTCGCCAAAGCAGCACCACCAGAAGAAAAAGATGTGTACACAAAAGATGGCACGGTGGATTTCCGTGGAAAACCAGCGAAGAGAAATGCAACCGGAACCTGGAAAGCCTGCCCTTTTATTCTAGGTACTTTTTGAAGATTTCCAACATGCATGCAATGAATTTTGGTCCGGGAAGTTGAATCAAAGATTGGATTTTTATTTTTGTTTTGATTTTAATGAAGCTAATTTTATTTTTTAATTAATTAATGTTTTTGGGTTTGATTTGTGAGTAGGGAATGAATGCTGTGAGAGGTTGGCATACTATGGAATGAGCTCAAATCGGGTGATTTATTTCAAGACCCAATTGAACCAGACGAGTGCCGTTGCTGCGAAAAATAACTCGAATTGGAGTGGAACTTGCTACCTTACTCCATTACTTGGAGCTTTTCTGGCTGATGCCTATTTGGGAAGATACAAGACTATTGCCTCTTTCTCAATCATTTATTTCATTGTAAGTTCTTTTGCCTTCAAATTCTTACTAGTTTATTTCAATTTGGAAAGTCGCTAGCCAGTATGATAACCATTTCGTATTTTTTTTTTTTTTTTACAAACAATATCGTTAGTAGGTTAAATTGTTAGTTGTTAGGGGGGAGGGAATTCGTGGGATTGAACCACACCAGGGTGCATAAGCATCATTGTTTTCTGCCACTGCACTAAACACTCTGAATGATAATCATTTTTTTTTAGTTCTTAGTTTTTCGTTAGAGATATAAGGAAAATATATAGGCCAAATGAGAGATAAAAAGTGAAAACGAAAACCTAAATACTACAAACGAAATGGTTATCAGACGGGGGGTTCTATTTGCTTATCCCAACTGATTTGCAAATGTCCCTTTAATTCATAACATAGCTTACTGCAGGTCAACAATCATACTTTGCCTTAATTTTTCTAATACATGACCCTGCTGGGTGTTGTTGGAATTTGATTTGTTTGGTTTTTATCTTCTCACTCAATAGAAACTTATGGATTCTGTAATTGTTTGCATAGGGGATGACACTTTTGACAATGTCAGCATCGGTCCCGGGCATGAAACCAACCTGTGTTAGCAAAGATGATTGCCATGCAAATGGTGGACAAACTGCAGCAACTTTCATAGCGCTTTACCTAATAGCATTGGGGACAGGAGGGATTAAGCCGTGTGTCTCGTCCTACGGTGCAGACCAGTTTGACGACGACGATGAGGTTGAAAAGAAGCACAAGGCTTCTTTCTTCAATTGGTTTTATTTTTCCATCAATGTTGGTGCTTTGATTGCTAGTTCTGTGCTGGTGTGGATACAAGACAACGTGGGTTGGGGATGGGGTTTTGGTGTTCCAGCAGTGGCAATGGCAATTGCTGTGCTGAGTTTCTTTTCGGGGACTCGGTTGTATAGGAATCAGAAGCCTGGAGGTAGTCCTGTGACACGCATAATTCAGGTGGTTGTGGCGTCCGTGAGAAAATACAAGGTGAAAGTACCGGAAGACAAGTCCCTTTTGTATGAGACTGCAGATGCAGAATCTTCCATCCAAGGAAGCCGCAAGCTTGATCACACAAATGAATTCAGGTTAGTTTTTAAACCCAAAAATCTTCTTTACTTCTAAAGTTATATTGCTAAGATGGGATTAAGGCTCACTTCAGTTCAGTAATCAAACTATAAGATTGAGAATTCTTTTTCTCTAGCATTAGAGCGAATGGTGGTTTCGTAGTTTTACTTCCGTTGTTGTTGCTGTTCTGTTGACCTGAAATTTTACTGCTCAGGTTCTTTGACAAAGCAGCGGTGGAGGTACAAGATGACAATATAAAGGACTCGAAAAGCCCATGGAGACTCACTACAGTTACTCAAGTCGAGGAGCTAAAATCAATCATAAGGCTGCTTCCCATATGGGCCGCTGGTATCATCTTTGCTGCAGCCTGCAATCAGATGAGCAACTTCTTTGTGTTGCAAGGCACCCTCATGGATGTTCGTGTTGGCCACTCTAGCTTCAAAATCCCAGCAGCATCTCTTATCGTCTTTGACACCCTAAGTGTCATTTTTTGGGTCCCAATATACGATCGAATCATTGTCCCAGCAGCTAGAAAACACACTGGTCACAAGAATGGCCTAACTACACTCCAGAGGATGGGCATTGGCCTCTTCATCTCCATATTCTCCATGGTCTGTGCTACAGTTTTGGAACTCATCAGACTCCGAAGTGTTCGACAGAACAACTATTACGAATACGAGCACATGCCCATGTCAGTCTTTTGGCAGGTACCTCAGTATTTCCTCATAGGAGCTGCAGAAGTTTTCACATGCATAGGACAGCTGGAGTTTTTCTATGATCAAGCCCCAGACGCCATGAGGAGCTTGTGTTCTGCTCTGTCTCTCTCCACCGTTGCACTAGGAAACTACTTCAACTCTATTCTTGTCTCCATCGTTACAAAAACGACTACAAAGGACGGCAACCCTGGATGGATACCGGACAATTTGAACTACGGACACCTTGATTATTTCTTCTGGCTATTAGCAATGCTGAGTGTTCTTAACCTAGTAGTATACCTCTTCATTTCCAAGTGGTACACGTATAAGAAGACCGTCGGCACCCTGCGTTGATTACCAAAAGAATATCACCAAAAGAAGCTATACCATCAGAATGATAAAGATAATAAGTGAGTATCTTATCTGCGTTGATCGCAAAATGACCGTCGGGGACTCCGCGTTGTTTCTGTACTGTGGTGATTTTTAGGTTTTACTTTGCCTTTCAATTACTTGTATATAGTTTGTCTTGTGTTTGCCTTGTACAACACCACTAGGGCGACCCCAAGCCAAAAGGTGCCCCGCTTTGCGGGGGTTGAAGCGGAACTGTCTATCTTACATAATATTACTCTTGTTTTGCAAAAAAATTGTTTTTACGACTCTAATACAGGACTTTTTGCCACAAATGAGCAACCTTTCTGTTGCGCCAAGGCTAACCCTACTTGTACAACACTACTACTGCTACTTAATATTTGTTCGAGTCCTTCCTTGCAAGGGCTAACTGTGAGTGGACGACCTCATCTGAATTCCCCACAAGAAGCAACAAAAGAGTTACTTCTAAATTTCTAATAAGTGGGCGAGGCCACAATTCTCCTAGGGTTATCAATTTTCTTTGACAATTGTTAGGACTAGATCTACTGTTTTTAAGTGGCGAAGTATTCAATATTTAAACGTATTTTAGAATTTTCGGTTGATAAGATAAACATTTTCTCCAAACATTTGTGTCATATTTACTTATTTAAAATCTGAAAAACTCTCAATCGGAAAAGTCAGGAATAAGGAATAAATCACGAATTAAGCATTGCATTATTGACCCGTTGCAACTTAAATTAAAGATTTCATCTCCTCCGTCCATTTTAATGTAACACTTTTTATGAAAGTGTGTGTTTAAGATGGAGTAAATTGTAATTTGATTGTTTGAACTATTTGAACTTAGTCAGTTAATCCCTCATTGATCGAAAAAAAATTAAAATTAACCCCTCACTGTAAAATTCGATAAAATATCATCCACTTTGCCTTCAAATACTAGCATGTCACTAATTCATTCCTAGATAATAGTTTAAGGGATCAAACGACGGTTTACCCTTTTAGATGTGTATTAGATAAAAATTGATGGGAATATAGGCATTGTATGGTCTTTTTTGTTTTTGGGTTTCTTGCTTGGCTCAGTTGTCATAACTATATACCCCAATTCTTCTCTTTACCCTAAATCAATGCCGACAATAGCCATTTGAAGACCCTAAAAATTTAGTTTTGATTCCTTTCAGAGCAAGATTGCAGAAGACTGAAAGATTTGTCCTCACAAATATCCGATCGCAAAAATGGTTCTCAAACGCTATCAGGATGCTAAAGCAGGTAATACCTAATTTGTTGCATTTCAACGATCTGTATATCTGTTTGGGTTCTCTTACAACCCTCCAAATGTTTGACGAAATGCCTCAGTTAAACGCCCAAACCTTTTCCTCCTTTTTGAATGCGATTGTTTCAGGATACCAATTGGCCAAATCGTTTAATGCCGAGAAGTACTTGAAAAAAGTGGGATTGGGCAAAGAAGACTACTACTTCTGGAAGCAAATAGGCAAGGCGTTGGTATGCACATACACTCTCTTCGGCGTGGCCTGGCTCTACAACGAGAAATCGCCACTTGGGTGGTGGACGCTCAAGCCTAGGCCCAAGGAAGAGAGAGAGCTAGCGCACCTGTACGAGCGTCGTGAATTCCCGTACCCTGGGGATGAAGAAGCCATGGAAGAGTTTGTTGCCAAGGGGGGAATGATTGGCACGACAATTGGCCCGAAAGGGTTTGTCGAGACGGACAAAGATGCGTTTAATTATCAGAAAGAGCTGCAGAAGAAGAAGCTGGAGCAGGAAGCTCAGAAGCTGTGGGTGCGGATGAAGAATGAGGTCGTCTCCGAGCTTCAAGAGAAGGGTTACGTCGTTGACGCTGAGTGAAATGTGTAAAAATTTGCATGGTTATGTGATAGTTTATGCGTTTGTGTGTAAAAGTGATTAGCCTTTGCATTGCTTTTGGATAAAAGCACTTTGTGAGTACTTGCTCAAGAATTGCTGTGAGATAATGCACAAGACCTTGGATATTTTTATGGAATTCTCACTATGCTTTTAACAAAACCCTGCTTTGCATAAGCGCGTTGCAAAGAAATAAGTGGCGGATACACTACCCTAGCCAACAAACTTAACCCACATTCGCCTCTTGTTCTTTAATCAGATCTCGTAATTCGTTTCATTTAATAATAATTCAACAAAAGCTACAAACTAAAGTGAACCAATGATTTCAAAGATAAACAAACTAAATTGTATTATTACAAATTCCTCAAATTCAGATTATTGCCTTATTGGCAATTTTGGCATTGTCAGGAAAAAACCGTTAGGGGAAGTGTTTGCGTTCCTCAGAAAACAAGAAAATCCACTTATATTTGGCTTTACTACATAACAAAGACATCTACAAGACATTCTTGGACAGATATTGTGAGTTGTTGCCTGGCCTGCTCTTTCCCGATTCACTCCTCCGATAGCTCCTCAACGGCGTCAAGTAGAACCGCAGCAACCCGTGATCGAGATTGCTCGGCGAATACCGAGCACTCTTGTTCCTCTGCAGAGTCTTCACTTCATTGCTTTTAGTTTCCGCACCAACACCATTCACATTGCTTAACAAGCCAACCATTCTGCACTGGTTCCGGCAGCTGACACTGTAACTTCGAATCAGCTTGGAGGCGTTGGCTTCTTCTCCGTTGGCCACCCTCCTCAGCTTCTGCCAAGAATCCGCGGATTCTTCGTCTGCGCATTTCTTCTCGCTTCTCCTCTGCATCAAACCCCAAAAGCTCCACTTCTTTTGCCTCCTATTCGACTTTTGATGATCAACATCAACCCCATTGGTTGATTCCGAAGCCGCATTTTTGCAAACATGTCCAGAGACAATCCCAACGCCGCTGCCCTCCTCCACACGCTCATCATCTTCAGCAGATTTCAACTTCGAATTCGAACCCATCGAACTCATCAATTCTTTCTCTGTAATCAGCAGCTTGGCCCCATAGAACAACTCTGAAGTGGCAGGGGAGACTCTAGCATTTGAGCCCAACTTCAGCTCATCAACCTCCGCCGTTGCGGACCGATCGAAACACGGCCGTTCGAAGCTCCGCCGCCGCTGCGAATTGTAATAGTCTTTGGTCTGAGCTGAGCCGCCTGGACTCCTCTCCCAGCTCTCTTCCACAACCGAAACCATCGGGGTCAGCCTCGGGTGAGGGGCTCTCGGACCCAAATACCCGTCCCAAGAAGCCCGAGGCTCGTCCAATGACATCCGACCCGGATCGGGATCCGTATCGCACGATTTTCTCCCCAATGCGTACTCTCCCACTTCGGACTGGGTCTCCCTCCTCTTCTCCGCCACGAAACCCTCGCTCTCAGCCTTCTTCGTCTTGTGCTTCCGCCGCCATTGCTTCACCTTTTTGCTCAAAACCGACGTCGTTCCCCAAAATGTCCCTGCAATTTCCTTCGAATCCCTACCCTCGCCCTTCTTCTTCTCCCACTCGAGATCTATCAACTCTTTCATCGTCTTGAACTCCGAATCTGCACCCGTATCCAAATCCAAAACCCTAGCTTCGTCTCCACCATCGTCCTTATCCCCATCTCTCAATTCGACATGGAACTTTCTCGGCACTCCTTTGCGGTCGTCGTCGATGTTAAAGAGCTCGGACAGAGTGTTCCGGGCCCTGGCATTGCACGACTTGCGCCGGGTCGGATCCGGGGCGCTGGCCGACGACGATTCGGGTCTCGTTCCGGAACACGACTTGCTTCTCCGGAGCTCAGACCCCGAATGGGGGTTCTGGGTCGAGGGTTCTTGGTGAGCGGCGGCGGAGTCGAGGCCGGCGAGGCGTTCGGTGAGGCATGGGGCGCAGAAACCGGTTATGGGTTTGGTAGGGTGGCGGTGACAGGTGGAGAGGCGGTGAGTTTGCGCCTTCATGGCTTTTCCTAGGACTGGAGGAGGAGGGCGGCGGCGGCGGTTGAGAGAGCGTGCATGGCAGAAGAAGGGAGTGGGGTGTCAGTGAGAGGCGGTGAGGTTGAGAAGGGAATGGGAAATTGCAAAAAATGGAAACCCCGGACAAACCCCTTTTTGGGATTTTATGGTATCCATGAAGCTCTTTATTTTATTTTATTTTTTCTAAGCAGTTAGCATGGAGATGCATAATCCAATTTTCACAGAGAAAAGAATCCTATGCAAAGATGATCAAACAACTCTTAATCATGGTCATAAAACCTAAACTCTTAAAATCCAATTCTAGTCGGACGATCTTATATCAACGGCCAGTATTAGTTGATCCTGAGAGTTCGCATGGGAGATTTGGATTGAATTTTTGTCTTTCTAAAAACATTCAGGTAGTTACAATGCTTGTCGTTTTTGTTCTAGTTGTTTGAATTGAATAAGCAACATATAAAAACAAAGAGAGAAGTGTAGAAGCATAAACAAGAGTGCAAACAGTGTTTTCCTTTTATGTAATATCAACTTCCTTTTTTTCTTTTTTCTTTTTTTGGATTAAATCAAACAATAATTATCAAATTATTTGGTATATAACAAATGAATTTGTTTAGAAGTAAAAGGATTAGCTAGTTCATGAGGGAAAGAGATCCGGGCCACCGGCTAAAGTTATTATAATTTTTAAAATGAGCCCTTATTTTTAGCCGTTAGATCAAATTTCAAGAGTTCAGATCATTTAATTCGGTGACCTTAATCGAAGAAATCCAAAAGATCTCTTTCCGTTCATGAGTACCTCACTTGAAACTTGTTCAAGAATCCAGAGTACTTTGCTTGCAACAGAAGAAGGCTGAGCAAGCAAATATTAGAGTGAAGGAGAAGGAAACCAACAGCTTTTCGGGCCACGGAAAGCCCAAGACACTAGTCCCACACTTTTCTTGGATTTTGGGTTTGCAAACGGAAACAGAAGCAGAAACCAACCACTTCCATTCGGACGTGCACAAAATTTGTAGGTCAACTGCACTAAGGACACCACCATTCACATGGAAATCAACAAATAATGTAGCATTCCCAAACCGATGTATTGTTTAAGAATACAAAATTGATCTAGGGAAATGGGAGCCTTAGAATCTTTGATTTATTAATATATGCATTCTCGAAATACTTGCTCAATGTTTGTCTTTTCACATTTCATCTTTCAAAAAAAGAGTTACTTGTATCTTTCGGAGAATAGAATCTCATATTAGTCATATGACAAGATAATATACAATTGATATTTGAGAGTTTCTACTCTAACATTACCAAGGTATTTTGTAACAAAAACCCATCTGTCGGAGAATAGAATCTCATATTAGTCATATGACAAGATAATATACAATTGATATTTGAGAGTTTCCACTCTAACATCACCAAGGTATTTTGTAACAAAAACCCAACACCTAGTAATAAGTGATTAAGTTGGAACAATATTGATATTAATGGTGGATCATGCTGGGTCTAAAAAGTTTATCATGATATTAGAGCAGACTATTCTTTTGACACATTCTTGACCCGATTTACTAGGCTTGAATGTGCCTCCTTATGTTGGGTTTTTGAAAAGTTGGGCTAGCTCTAGTTTAAGGATATTGAATGACTGAGCCCTCGAAAAGTTATGTTGACTTTAGTCCCTGAATGAATGATCGATCTCTTGAAAAGCTGCATTGGCTCTAGTTCCTAAATGAATGACTGACCTCTCGAAAAGTTGCGTTACCTCTATATAATGACTTGACCAATTTCTGTTGTGGGAATTAGTTTCCCTTGTGACCCCGTATGGGTCACTCGCGAGGAGGTGTGTTGGAGATAGGATTTCACATTATTCATGTAACAAAACAATATACAATTATGGGAAGTGTTATTGGCACTCCAAAATCTTATTCTACACTCCTCACAAATGTATTTTTCTTTTCAAATATAGAAAGGTTGGAGTGTAGAATAAGATTTTCGAAGTGTCAATAACAATTCTCTTAATATATAAGAATTTTTACTCCTAATATCACTTATGTCCTTCGTAATAAAACTTAACACATAGTAATATGTAGTTAAGTTAGGAATAATATCGATGATATGACGGTAGACCAGCCTAAAGAGTTTATGAATATCTAATGATATTTCTTTAGATATAATCACCCTAGGCCACTTCAAGCATGCTCGAATTCCTTCTTGAGGCCCTAAAAAGCATGCTCGAGCTCCTTCTATACATTATATAGTTCACAACTTCACACGCGCACACATATACATATATATCTTGGAGCAGCTTCTTTTAAAATAACTTTAAACTACTACTTATTTTTCTGCACAGTTGGAGAAGAATTTTCCTGTGCCACCAGAAAGTCTTAGGTCCAGCATCCGAACTACGTGATTGTACAGACCTTAGATACAAACCCCTCATAACTCATCACTTCTAATTTTGAGATCCGCCACTACCCCATAACGACCTTAGCCTCCAAGATTCCTCACCCAAGAATCTTTCTTGCACCACTGGGACTAGGAGAACATGACTGAAGTCTAGTAGTCAGGAGCCATGTCACCTCATAAAGTCAACCCATAAGTCGTATTCACCATTAATCTTCTAAGACCATTTCGGATCACACACCACAGATGTTTTGAGTGATCAATCAAGGTCAAAATTATTTCGTTTTCAAAGCCATGTTGCAGCTATGAGAATGCCAATGAGAAATTTACAAATATCATCCTCATATTTATTATTTACTTGGTTGATTTGGTACTTGTGACAATGTGACTTCTTTTAAAAAAAAAATTATAATTCTTGTTAAGGTTTTTTAGTTAAAATAGTCTATGAGATTGACGTAATTTCTCATTTCAATTTCTGACAATGAAAATCAATAGAATTGATCTCTGATGTTTATCGTAAATTATTTTGGTCATTTTGTGAAAAATCTGTCAATATCTTCATTAATTGTCATGTGGACGACGATGTGACAACCTTTTAAATGGTATTTTTGTCAAGCCAACCCCTCTACTTAATGAGGATATTACAAATTTTTCCTAGAAAGACCAAAATGTTTTACGGTGGTTAAACTCAGGAACCACTTCTAGCAATTTTCAATTTCAAAGACTAAATTGAGAAATTACGCTAATTTTATCGACAATTTTGGCTAAAAAGCATTCGTGTTAAAAGTACTGAAATGTCAAACGACAACAGAGAACAGATTCAGTGCAAGTTGCTTGACCACCAACGACCAATGTGGATATAATTTGGTGCCCTCTCTAATTGGGGGAATGAATATATTCCATATATCTTGACATCTTGTGCACTGAAATAGTTTGAGTATTCAAGCAGCCTCCGACGTGGGAACTACAATTTGGTGACAGTCTGAATCTATTTACTCACTTTTCAATGGCTATAAATAGATGCATAGTTCAACTGTGGAGAATATAGCTAGCTGTGCAGCAGAATTCAGAGGAAGAGAAGTCTTGTATGAAGGTGAAGAGCCATGTTTGGTAGCCAAGGATGACTTGCCTAATCAAACATCACATATATATATATATATATGTTTATGTATTTATATTGTGGTTTGTAGCTAGGCAGTCGTCTTTGGGCTATTCTGACTGGCTCTTATCTTTCATGCTAGACTTTCCTCTCTTCCATTTTTACGTGGTTAAGTCTCTCTTTGCCATTACATGAAAAGCGAGCAACGATTACCAAGATTAGTAGCTATTTGGTTGCTGCTATTGGCGTAACAATGATTGTTACTAATGAGAAAAATGTGTTCTGATGCCTTTTGCTTTATATATATTATTGGATAAGCATTTTGATTGTGACTGACTGCAGAGCGTATGCACAATGGCTAGCCTTAAGGGTACATTTCTATCTGCATGCATGCAATGTGCAGCTGGTGAAGGCAACCACTTCGTCTCACCATTCGCCACTCAAACCCTAGCAAGAAATGCGCATTCGGACATAATACATACCGTTGATATATCATTAATATTTGGTAGTTATTATTGATACGACGTTTGTATTTAGCATCAATCCGTCAATATAATGTTGTAAAGATTCGATTGTTATATCATTGTTTACGTCATTTTTTTCGTTTGTGTATTATAGACCATCTAATTTTTTTTTTTTTTTAAATAGGGACCAGCTGTTGGTTTTACTACGCCAGCCTAACTTTTTAGGGGCCGGAACTCACACAGATATTTCAATCATTTGATTAAAATGCCCTAAAAACCCCTCATTGTAGAAGCTTCCCTCGTCAGGATTCATAGGGATCCTAAGGATCCAACAATTTTGTCCGTTCATCATACATTGTCCAGTCAATTTTCGTTAGGTAATATTTATATTCGAATTTTAAATTTTAAATGATTTCTGACCGTACGATCTAGGACGAACGAACATGATTGCAAAATCCTTAAGATCCCCAAAAAAGGATCCGGCGCCCCTCGTCACACTCATAAGCCTATGTGGGTTTAAAAATAAACCACCTTTGAAAATGAATATAAGCCCATCCGAACCCGGCCCGCTCAACTTCTGCAAAGATGGATCCGAGTCAAGGTGGTGCAAAAAGTCAGCATGGAGAAGGCGAACAAATCCTTGGAACTGACCCACGACGAGTCAGAGGCGCCGGCGCCGGGCCGAGCTTCTACGAGCCTTACGCTCTTCGCGGCATCCGAGTCGACCGAGTCGAATCCGGACTCGTTGTCTGATTTTTCAAGGTCCCTCTCTCCTCAGCGTAAGCTACAGAGCCCCTCACTCTTTTAATCACAAGTCAAAATTTCCGTAATTTTATCGAAATGAACTTCTGCTACTAATTGGGATTATTAGGAGCATCAAATTAGGCTAATTTAACTCAAAATTTAGCTGATTTTACTTGAAACTAAGCTAATTTGACTTGAATTTTAGCTTATTTAACCTGAAATTTAGCTAATTTAACTTAAATTTTAGCTTATTTAACTAATTTAGCTAATTTGAGGCGTGATCCTAAATTGATTTGGCTTAAAGTTTGCAGCCAACAACATGGAGAATGCGAAGAAGTCTGTGGAGTTGACGCAGGACGAGTCAGAAGCCTTGTCGCGACTCGTCCTTCCGGAACCCCAACCAGGGGTATGCATATACAATCATTTCGCCACCAGAGGCATCCGAGTCGACCGAGTCGAACCCGGACTCGTTGTCTGTACTCTCAAGGTTCCTCCCCGCCTCACTGTGAGTCTTCTAATCACCAGCAGATCTGGATTTAGTCAATTTGGCTAGAGGAGTGTGGAGTGTGGTCTCCCATTTGCACGCGAGTTCAAATCTCCCGCCCGTAGCTTAGATGAATTTAGTGTTGAATTAGTAGTGGTTATGTTAATTGCAAACAAGGAGTTTAACACTTGTGCGCGGTTTTGGAATTGTGTTTCTTCTGTTTGCAGGATAGAGCTGGAAATTTGGCTAATGGTGCAATTGCAAATCTTGTTGATCAAGTTGGTGCTGCTGTTCATGTTAGGGGTCTCCCCGTGAACGTTTCGGTGGACATTTCCATCTCGTTCATGTCAAAGGCGAAGCTTGGTGTAAGCAAACTTTCCACTCATATAAAATCTCTGTTTTCTTTCGGATTTAGCAACCTCTGAATTGGGCATACATGTACGTGTTCAATCTAATAGACTAGACAGTCAATATTGCGAATGCTTAAACTTTTGTGCTGAAAAGTTCCGTTGGCATTTTGATTAGCAGAATTTGGCTATTGTAATGTGAGTCTGATAGCGGTTGTTGTCCCTTGTTGAGTATTGCTTGTCAAAGGGAAATGATTAGGAATTGGAAAGAATCTGATTGCTCGTATTTGGCTAGTCATTTGTGTTTCTAATGGTGGGATTTTCATTGCTCGCCATGTCATGTGCGTGCGATATATGATTCACGTTTGTGTATATTTAGCTCTAACATCTTATACCTGTACCGTTCTGATTTCAGTGCATTTCTTTAAGGGACTTTTATGGCATCTGATTGCTCTTGATCTCAAATTGTAGGATGAGTTAGAGATCACGTCAAGGGTGTTAGGACAACGAGATCGTTATTGTGGAACATCGATACTTGTGAGAAACAAAGCAACTGGTGACGTTATTGCTGAAGGTCGGCATTCATTGTTTGCTATACATACTAGCAAACTCTGAGTCCTTTTTCACTACACTATGTATATAGGTGGAATGAAGGGAGCTCTTTGGGGGCATAGGTTGAATCTTTTCGTAGTTTCGCTTCTGGGAAATAATTGTTTGTCATTGAATAAGGATTGAGAATTATGTTTAACATACATGGTCCAGATTCTGGCCTCAGATTTAGTGAACTGTTTTCAACTGCTATTGTTACTTGTTTTTCACTTCATCTCTTTTGCTGATTTGTTTGTACACAATCAAACATAACCCGAATCTTCACTCTGGTTGCCGGTGTTGCATTTTCCGTCGAAGTCTGTCTTTCCTCATAATAGGACGATTAAGATCGATTGACTTGATGCTTCTTCAACTTTTTTTTTTTTTTTTCTCGGAATTCTTATGTAAGATTCAAATGTGTAGACTAGCAGGTAGTAAATTTCACTCCACAGTGCCTGGTAGGAAAAGGCTTCTTTCTATGAATCAAATTTTCATATCAAACACTTCTGTGAGTTATAATGCAACTATGTTTTTGTATGCATCGCATGTAAGCCCAAGTCCTTTTAATTTTTTTTCACTCCTCCTGTGAGAGTCTTTCTCGCGGTTGTGTGAGTGGTCTTTGACTTTGTCGATCCACGTCGCAGCTGGCTCTAGTTGTGGCTAGAGTTGGTGGCAGTTCCATGCTTTTCCTTTGTTTTCATCTTTTCCTTGCTCTTCATGTTTGCCTGTCCATAACGATCTCCTCCTTTTTTTCTCCTTGCCTTATCTCACCACTTTGAGCCCTGTTCCCCAATCATTCGTGTCCGACATCCTTCTCAAGCCTTTCCTCTCCATCATCTTGGTCATTTGGCTCCATCGTTTCTTTGCCCATACCCAATTCCATTTAGTTACCGCCAGTGTTCACTGCGATTTGTCACGGGTTTATGAGAGGGTGTATAGAGTTTTGGCTCGGGAGTTCGCACCACCACCTTTGTTGACCCTTGTCGGTCCTTCCCGGTGTTCTTGTCGACGATGTTGCTCGTGGGGTATGTCTTCCTGCGTGCTTACTTGGTTTCATGGCCGAGGTTGTTGTGGTGGTCCTTGGAGGATGATGTGGCCTTTTTCTTCCTTAATTATGGGGTTCTTGCTGGTGTGATCTCTGGTGCTCGTGAGGGGCGACAATCAACGGCGGCGATGGTGGCAACAGAGCTGCAAGGGTTTCTGCTTTCTGTGGGTTTGTGCTCAACCTTTGGGTTGGGTTTTTACTGCTTTGGGGGTCCAACTTTTAGTCTTGTGCTTTATTTGTAACTAGGCCTTTCTTACTGTAAGCTTGCTCTGATTTTTTTTTTTTTTTTTTTTTTTTTTTGAAAGGAAAGCATTGTATCAACCCATGAAGAACTACATATGTTTTGGAGGAGAAGACTCCTCAATCCAAACCAAATTATTGCTACTAGACAAAGCAAACTTTGCAAGACGGTGGCCAACCCCATTACATAAACGAGAAAAATGAACAAAACTCAACATAGGGAAGGAGGATGCCAGCTGCAAGCCTGCAACACCATCCGCGATCAAACCTATTGCCGACGAGTTTGAATAGGTCCTATTGAGTGCTGCTAGTACTGAATTTTACTTTTGTCCAAAAAAAACATTTATGGATGCATTCAGGAGATCAAATTATGAAAACTTTCGATGAAGATTGTAGTCTAAGAAATAAACGGTGAAGATGACTATAATAAATTGAATAGTTGATTGTAAGAAATAATAAAAATTGTTTAAAAAGTCGAACTACTTAGTAGGCTCTGTATTTAAGCATTGACGCTTAAGAATCAAAACAATTAGGAAAATGCTAAGGGGACAGTCTCTTTATTAATCTCTACTAATTAATAAAACACTCGTTGTTAACCAAAACTCTATGAAATTACCAGTTTAACCCTTTAATTAAAACAGAACATGAATACGAAATATAGGGTAGAAATGTAATTTCACACAACCAAATTTTACTGTTTGTTTTTTCAAATCATCACCTATATGTAATCATAACATATCTCTAATTAAAAAAATAAAAAATATATATATATATATATAAAAAACCTTCCCACTCTCACACTCTCTATCACTCTTTTCCTCTCTCATTCCATTTAAAAAAAAAAAAATTTCTCACACACTTTGTATGTGCCCATATGCTATTAATCTTAATAAAAAAAATTCAACCATCACAATATGCAGTTTACAAAATATAATCTAAAAAATTGATCTTACTAACATCGTCTAAACATTTAATTCATAAAGGTAAGTGGGACCCAATCCCACTCTCTTGACGTTTTAACGGTTCAGCCAAAGCGGATAGAAAAGTGGGGAACGCCGCCAACAAAATGGAGAATGCGAAGAAGTCTGTGGAGTTGACGGAGGACGAGTTAGAGGCCTTCTCGCGACTCGTCCTTCCGGAACCCAAAACAGGGGAGTGCATATACAATCATTTCGCCATCACAGGCATCCGAGTCGACCGAGTCGAACCCGGACTCGTTGTCTGTACTCTCAAGGTCCCTCCCCGCCTCACTGTAAGTCTTCTAACCACCAGCAGATCTGGATTTAGTCAATTTGACTAGAGCAGTTTGATCTTCCATCTGCACACAAGTTCAAATCCCCCTCCCGTAGCTTAGAAGAATTCAATCAATTTAGCTAGAACAGTGTGGTCTTCCATCTGCACGCGAGTTCGAATCCCCCTCCCTGTAGTTTAGATGAATTTAGCGTAGAATTAGTAGTGGTTATGTTAATTAAAAACACGAGTTTAACGCGGGTTTTGGAATTGTGTTTCTTGTGTTCGCAGGATAGAGCTGGAAATCTGGCTAATGGTGCAATTGCAAACCTTGTTGATCTAGTTGGTGCTTCTGTTCATTTTAGGGGTCTCCCCATGAACGTTTCGGTGGACGTTTCCATCTCGTATCTGTCAAAGGCGAAGCTTGGTGTAAGCAAACTTTCCGCTCATATAAAATCTCCGTTTTTCGTTCAGATTTAGCAGTCTCTGAATTCGCTATACATTTACATGTCAATCTCATAGACTATGTAATCAATATTGCGAATGCTTAAACTTTTCTGGAGTTGGTAGCAGGTTTTAACACTCATGAATGTGAGTTTGATATCGGACGTTCTCCCTTGTTGAGTACTACTTGTCAAAGGGGAATGGTTACCAGTTCGAAACAATCCGATTGCTCTTATTTGGCCATTTTCTTGGGTTTCTAGTGGCGAGATTTTCCTCGCTCGCCTGGTCACGTGCGCGTGATATATGATTCGCGTTCGTGTATATTTGGCTGTAACATCTTATTCCTGTTTCGTTCTGGTTTCATCGCATTTCTTGAAGGGACCTGTAGCAGCTGATTGCTCTTGATCTCAAATTGCAGGATGAGTTAGAGATCACCTCAAAAAGTTTAGGACAACGAGGTCGTTATTCCGGAGTATCGGTACTTATGAGAAACAAAGCAACTGGGGAGATGATTGCTGAAGGTCGACATTCATTGTTTCGTTCTGCTGCTAGCAAACTCTGAGTCATTACCAGAGCTGTACATGAAGGGAAATCTCCATTTATGGTTGTTTTCCCTTGTAATTATTCTTTTCCTTTTTATGTAGTAGAGATCATAATCTTAAAAGGACGTAGGCCAATACCCAAATTGGTGCTTTTCTCCCGGAGCACCCGAATCTTTGTTTCTGTGTCTCTTGATTCTCCTTATGAAAAATGATGGACATAAATAACTTCGCTTATTTATGAGTTGCTTCCTCTTTTTATTTTATTTTCTATCTTCAAGTACTGGATTAGAGATTGAAAATAAAAATGCTTATAATTTAAAGCGATTAAAAGCATTTTCTTCTGCACCTAAGGTCATGTGTCCAATTATTTCCTAGTTATATGTTTATTAAAAGAAAAGTAAAATAAAGACTCAGATTCTTGGCAATATATACTTCCCTATTACATTTTATTGTGATTTTTGAGTAAATATATGGTGTAATTATTGCACGGTCACGTAATATTATAAATTTATATATGTTATTACTCTGGTATTTATTTATTTATTTATTGGTTACATTGGATGTTTCATACCTTGAACCTAGGTAGCTTACTCCTATCCTATGCAGAGGCGGATGCACACTAGGACCTAGATGGTCCCCGGACCACCCAGTTCAAAAAAATATACATGTGAAGGTCTTCTAAGGATCCTATGAATGTTTTGTATTGGTCCCTTTATACCTATTAAGTGTTTGATGAAATACCTACTAGATATATCTAGATAGATTGCATGGACAACACTCAATAAATCATCTCGATATCACTCAACAAGTGTTAAACGAAATGTTGTAGTGAATAAAGGGAAAAAAAAATTTGCGAGCTTCACACTCTGTTTGTATCTACAAAAAACTTGAATCTTTAATACTGAGACCACCCAAGATCCGAATCATGAATCTGACACTATTCCAACGATAGGAGTACTACCCATCTCCCTACCCACCCTCATCATTAAACTAACCCCATTGACTTGGGCACTAGCGGAGCCAAGGTGGGTGCAATGGGATTCATTGACCCCAATAAGTTTGTTAGGCCACTAATTTTCTTTTGGTGCAAAGAAGAGAAAAAATGGGAAGAGGCATTGCTTTGGTTTTTTGAAGAATAAAGAAAAAGAAAGGCTGGTGACTTTGGTTTTATAATGGGAGAAGAGGCAGTGCCTTTTGTTTTGGCAGCATCCAATATATATTAAGGCATTTGTAATGCCCTTTGGTTTTGAGCAGCAGCAGAAGAGAGAAGAGCTGTCTATTGACAGCTCCAATTTGTGAGTAGAGGAGAGAGATGAGAGCCACACCAGGGTGAGCATTCGGCTATTCCATTTGAAAAAGAGTGCAGTCGGGTTTACCATTTTGAGAGAGAAGCAGATGCAGAGAGTGAGAAAAACATGGGGCACTATTTAGAGAAGTCAACAGCATATTGCTTCATTTTTTGCTCTCCTTTGAGCAATCACTCGTATTAGTACTAGAGAATTTTTGTTATGTATTTTCATATCTACTTGTTATTTGTTTGAGTGAGAGTTATTGGTGTATATGGGATTTGGGATTTGAGTTTGAAATCTATTTTTAAATGAAAGTATGATCAATTCTTAAAAGTTATTTTTTGACCTCATTGCTGTAAATTCCTGGCTTCGTCATTGGGCTTGGATGTATACAATTATTAATACTATACCATACATACTTTAAATATTAATCATTTCATTGTGCTTCATCCAAATTATCAGGTCTGGATTAATAATATTATATGTTTGTGTAGTCGTAAACGAGAGCCGATGGGCCATTACAAGTAGTTTTGTGGCCATAGAAAAAGCCCACTAATACAACAAAGCAAGTTGACAGTTTTTAATTCACCTAGTTGCTCTTTACATGTCAACGGTCAAGTCGCACTGAGTTGGTTTCCGATCCAATGGAATGAAGGTTATAGATTTGGGGAAAGGGAGGTCAAGATGGAGAAGGCGAAGAAGCGTCTGGAGCTGAACTCGGACGAGTCAGAGACCGTGTCGCGAGTCGCCATCCCAGCTCTCCAAATCGGAAAGTCCAGCTTCTACGATGCCTTCGCTCTGAGAGGTATCCGAGTCGAGCGAGTCGAACCCGGTGTCGTCATCTGTTCTTTCAAGGTCCCTCCCCGCCTTATCGTGAGTCATCTAATTAATCTGTATGTTTAGCTTTTGTTATTTAATGCTTAAATTGTTGAAATTAATTAACTGGATCTTCTTTTATTTAGTTTAGAAAAAAAAACACATTCATTTCACAATTTTCATATAACACTCTTTAAAGAATGTAACGGTAAGTGACCGCACATTTCTTGATCATTAGGCGACTAAGAGAACATTTCAATAATTTGTCGATTAAACAAGTAGATTCTTTAAGGTTTTTAGTAATTTAGGAAATTTCATATGTGGATTGTTTCACGAAACATTTTAACATTTTGTTTTTTTAGTCTGAGTACATTGAAAACCTTAATTAAACTTTCGCTTTGGATATTAGTGATAATTATGCACATTTAGAGATAACCTCATCACCTAAACAAATGCCATTTTCCCAAATAAAAGGGGTCTCTAATATGCGGTTATGCACTGTTCGAATAGGAATTCATTTTCTGAAAGATCCTGGTTTCGCATTTGCACTGGGGCAATTGTTTATGATTCAATCCGCTTTGATGTTGATCCACTAGATGTTGTGGAAACTCCCTTTGCTACTTTTTTCCGGGTCGACTAAAATTGGTGCCCAATAACAAATAAAACATACACTTCCTGGGCAGCCCATCTTTATTCATACAGCCGAGAGGGCCCGGCTACCCAAAAGTGTTGCCAGTGTGAAAGTGTATCCATGAAATAGTCTTTTTAACCCAATTCTTTTGAAATTAAATACAAAAAGAAAATGGAATTGTTATTGGTACTCCAAATTTCTCATTCTACACTCCAAAATTTCTATATTTAGAAAGAAAAATGCACTTGTGAGGAGTGTAGAATGTGATTTTTGGAATGCTAATAATACTTCCCAAAGAAGGGGAAAAGCTAATACTATTTATTAGCTTAGCTTGCGTTCCTGGACAATCTAGTCATTTAGTCAGTTCATAACAGTCTCTGTAAAGCAAGGGGCAAAGCTTTGTGATGTATATTTAAACTAACCTAAATGATAGATTAATTTAAACCAAATTAAACTCGTAAGCACACAAATCAATTGTAGTAATATATACAAATACGAGGTCGATCCCACTGGGATTGCTTTAACACCAATTTAACCGATTAATCACGCTAGACTTAATTAAACAAACAAATGATATATTGAATTGAATAATTGATTAAAACTATAATTAACAAGAAAAAGAAAAGACAATTAATTAAAATAAACACACGACACAAGAAAACCTAAGGTTATGAATCCACCAATAACAATCCTATTTACTTGGAAGAGCCGATTACTATCCAATTACCATGCCAATGTTAAAGGTTGTTCTTTCTAAGGTATGAATTAATCCGTGGTCAGGCATCAACTCTTGTATCTCTACATAATAATTATATTCTATTGGTTAGGCGTACAATTAAACACATAAAAACCCATTAAGTGTAGAAGAATCATGTCAACCAAGTAGGACTAGCTTGATATAGGTCATCCTCACTAGTTTGTCTACTCTTCTTAATCTTAGTTTCAATAAACTTAATTTATATTGGTCATCCTCATAGATTTATCTAACTATCTAGATGAAAAATTCCTAAAGGTGATCAGTTATTAAAAACCCGAATCTAGAATAAATTACCCACAAAGATTAAGAATATAACATGGCATATAATCGGATAATAATTAACAAAGTATTTCGCAAATATGCATGTCATGGTTTCATCATAAACATTAGAAAATAACTTAGTTACACATAGAAATAAAAATAAAAGAAAGATAGAACTCGGAATCCATAGCAAAACACGTCCCTAAGCTCTTCTTCACAAATTGCAGAGATGGTGAATGGTAGTATGATGTGGGTGATATGAGGGATGCGGGGGTTGGGGATGGATGGATGGATGGATATCTTAGAGAAAGGTTAGGGCATTTATTTATACTAGAAAAATCCTAAAAGGTTTGGGAGAAACTCTCCTAAAATAAAACAAACTCCTAAACAATTAATGACACAAACTAGGAAAGAATCCTTCTTGACTTGGGAAACACGTCATCTGTCTTGCACGCCAGTTTTTGGGTCGATTTATCTTCTGGAAAATTCTGTAAAAATATGGGAAATGTAGCTTTATCTCTTATCTTTCCAGGCATATATCGCAAGTCACTAGGAAAAATCGGGAAAGCCTTCAAATCTTCATTCTCCTACAGCTGCACAATTCTGACGGGAATACAACTTCTGCGGGATTCATTTGTGAAACTGGAATGAATGGCTCCATGGAAAATTATGAAATTCGGATACAACGATCTTCAGCCTCTTAGCTTCCTTCTCCAATTAGCCTTGCATCAAAACTCCTCCGGAAAGTCGAATTATCACACCAAAAACGTCCTAAGTGCACAGATTGGCTGAAACTAAGAAAAGGAAAGTAATAAGGCTCTTTTATAATCAATTCCTTAACAAAACTTAGGGATAATTAATATGAAAATATGATAAATAATGCACCTATCACTTCGTAGATAGCTTCCCTCCTTTGTCGGTCAAGCTGCAAGTTCATGAGCAAGTGAATGAACGAGCCATGATCCTAAAAGGAGTTCAGAAGGACTCTGTGCTTTGGATGGGGGTGGTACCTTCCGTCTTGCTGATCGCTTACGCGCTTGTTTGAAAATGTTTCCTGAAAACACATATGCTCATAAGTGCTTTTAGCCATTCTAGAATAACTATTGTGAGCTTATTTGAAAGCACTTAATTAGTATAACCTCTCTACTCAAGCAACTTTAATTTTTGTTGGAGATTTCAACACAATTTGTGGGACTGGGAATATTTATTGGAAAAATTAGTTCATTTTTTTAGTTTTTAGCAAGAAATTAAAAAGATTTAGTTTCATGTGAGAGATTTTGAATGTTTTTCTTAATTATTTTGTTTGCAGGATAGAGATGGAAATTTGGCAAATGGTGCAATTGCAAACCTCGTTGATATAGTTGGTGGTTCCTTAGCTTTTATTCCGGGCCTCCCTATGAATGTTTCTGTCGACATATCCGTCTCTTATGTCTCAACTGCCAAGGTTCATGTAAGCAAATCTTTCCCACTCCAATCCTCATTTCTTCTTGATCTTTATATATAAGTAGTCCAAAAGTCACTTCAAATCTTTCTAACTTTCATTTTATTTCAAAAGTTTGTTCTTTTTGTGAGGATCCAGAGGTGAAAGAGTCTCATATCGGTAAAAGGATAAACCTTGTAGGGTTTATAAGAGGTTGGCCCTTACCTATATTGTCAATTTGTTTTATGGTGAAACCGAACTTTCTTCATGGTAGATTGACTCACCTGTGAAGCCTAACGGCCACAAGTGCTCCACGTCACCCAATTCGTGTTGTTCACGTATTTGGCTTGAATTCGCCACATGTGAGGGGTCGTGTGAGGATATGAAGGTAAAAGAGTCGCACAAATCGGTGAAAGAAGAAACCTTACTTGCAAGGGCTTATAAGAGATTGGGTCACTCCTCATATTGTCAATTGATTTTATGGTTGAACCCCAACTTTCTTTAATTTTGGTATCCTTTCCCATGCATAGATATAGCATATGATCGATGCTCATGTTCGTGTCAATATTTTGTTCTTTTTTTTTATTAACAGGATATGAGATTCAAACTTGAACCTCTTTCGAGTTCCAACATTAAAAAGAGTTCGAAGTAGCATGAGATTAAGAGCTAGTTGGTTAACATGCACAAATGCAAATGATCGTTATATTGTTTCAATCTTAATCATCGGATGTCCCGAAGATACCTCTAACATTTTGATGTCAAATTGCAGGACGAACTAGAGATAACTTCGAGGGTTTTAGGACGAACAGGAGGTTACTGTGGAACAATAGTAACATTCAGAAATAAATCAACGGGAGAGATAATAGCTGAAGGTCGACATTCATTGTTTCGTTCAAATGCTGGTCCCGTTCCCAAACTCTGAGGGGTCCTTTACACATTCATATATGTAGTTTTGAGAAACAAAACAACAGGAGGGGAGATTATTGCCGAAGGTCGACTTTTGTTGTTCCGTTCGCGTGCTTCTAGCCAACGAAAAGGATCGTTTTGTAGGTGTGATAACAGGATCCTTGTAAAACCTGAAATTACATCTTGATACATTCAACTTCACAGGTCACGGAACCCCTCTGAAACATTGCAAATTTCTTCCATAACTCTTCTTTCGTCTGCAAACTTGTATCAGTTACCATCTTGTCTAAAACTCTACCGTTCTTTAGCAAATACTTTGCAAGTTCCATCTCAACTTCCCGCCCCTTGAATCTTTGTATGGTGATGGTCTTGAGGTGCGGCAGCAAACAAATAGGTACAAATCCTGGTGGATTCCATTGATGCTCTGAACATTCAAGATAACACTCACCGCTCTGAACCATAATTTAAAGAATGAATGTGAGTTTGATATCGGTTCGTTGTCCCTTGTTGAGTATTGCTTGTCAAAGGGGAATGGTTACCAGTTCGAAACAATCTGATTGCTCTTTTTTGGCTAGTTTCTTGGGTTTCTAGTGGTGAGAATTTCCTCGCTCACCATGTAAATGCGCGTGATATATGATTCGCGTTTGTGTATATTTGGCTGTAACATCTTATTCCTGTTTCGTTCTGGTTTCATCGCATTTCTTGAAGGGACATGTAGCAGCTGATTGCTCTTGGTCTCAAATTGCAGGATGCGTTAGAGATCACCTCAAAAAGTTTAGGACAACGAGGTCGTTATTCTGGAGTATCAGTACTTATGAGAAACAAGGCAAATGGGGAGATGATTGCTGAAGGTCGACATTCATTGTTTCGTTCTGCTGCTAGCTAACTCTGAGTCATTTCCAGAGCTGTACATGGAGGGAAATCCTCATGTATGGTTGTTTTCCCTTGTAATTATTCTTTTCCTTTTTTGTAGTAAGGATCATAATCTTAAAAGGACGAAGACCAATACCCAAATTGGTGCTTTTCTCCCGGAGCACCTGAAAATTTTTTGGGATTTTTGAATTTTAATCCTTCAAGAAGATTAAAAATTAAAAAAAAAAAATATGGTGTTAAATTGATTATTGATTCTAGACCCTTAATGTGCACTTAATTCAAATTCATATTATATTTTTATTTTTATATTTAATAGAATTTTTTTTGTCAAAGTTTTTATGTTTAATAGATAACTTATTTAATGTTATTACATTAAATTTTAAATTTATTATTATACAATTTTATTTAACTTTCTCCAATTAGTGTACCTAAACATCCATATCATAATATATTCTACTAAATCAGTGTACCAAAATGCCGGTACCTAAATATATTATAGTGAATTAGTGACAGATAAGAAAATATGTAAAAACATAAGTGCACCAAAATTCCGTACCTAACTATATGATACTAAACTAGTGTATCGAAACGTCGGTACCTAAATATATTATACTAAACTAGTGTACCGAAATGTCCGTACCTAAATATATTATACTAACCCATTGTATTGAAATTTTCGTACCTAAATATATTTTTATGAATTAGTGGCAGATAAGTAAATATACAAAAACATAAGTGTACCGAAAAATCTCTACGAAAATATTTTCTTACATAAGATGCCTACCATAATGAGAATTAAAATTTATAATATTTTCATAAAATTTAAATTCATAAAATTACAAATAAAAAAAGAAACATTGAATACATATGTTGGCATTAAATAGAGTCTAGGGACTAAAATTAATTTTTAATCTTATATAAGACATTTTTTTAAACTTCATCTTATTTAGGGATTAAAATCTAGTTTTCTATTTTTTTTTTCTGTCTCCTGATTCTCCTTACGAAAAATGATGGGCATAAATAACTTCCATTATTTATGTGTTGCTTCCTCTTTTTATTTTAGTTTCCATCTTCAAGTACTGGATTAGATATTCAAAAGAAAAATGCTTAATTTAAAACGATTAAAAACATTTTCTTCTGCACGCAAGGTCATATTTTTAATTATTTCCTAGTTATATGTTTATTAAAAGAAAAGTAAATAAAGATTCTGATTCTTGGCAATATATACTTCCCATTGCATTAGTTTTCGGCCTTATTGTGATTTATGAGTAAATGTACGGTGTAACTATTGCACGCACTGTCATGTAATATTTTAAATTTCTTTATGTTTATAACAATTGTATTTGTTTGTTTATTGGTTACATTGGATGGTTTCATACCCGGAACCTAGCTAGCTACTCCTATGAAGAGGTGGATAACCACTGGGATTAGGTGGTCCTAAGACCACCTGCAGTTCAAAAAATATGCATGTAAAGGTCTTCTGAGGGCTTTATGAATGTTTTGTGCTGACCTCTTTAGACTTATTAAGTGTTTGATGTAATACCTACTAGATATATGTAGACACATTGTATGGACAACACTCGATAAATCATCTCGATATCACTCAACAAGTGTTAAACAAACAGCTTTAGTGAATAAACGGATTTTTTTTTTGAAGCTTTCGCGCTCTGTTTGTATCTAAAAAAACTTGAATCTTTAACACTGGAACCACCTAAGATTAAAATCCTAAATCCGCCACTGTCACTACCCTGTGCTACCCATCTCCCTACCCACCCTCACCATTAAGCTAACCCCACTGACTTGGGTGTATTCAATTATTAATACTATACCACACATCCTTTAAATATCAATCATTTCATTGTGTTCATTCAAATTATTGCATCTGAATTAATAACATCGTGTAATTGTAAACGAGAGCCCATGGGCCATTACGAATAGTTTTGCGGCCTTAGAAAAAGCCCAGTAATACAACAAAGCAAGTGGACAGTTTTTAAATCACCTGATTGGGAAAGAGATTCTCGGTCTCAATCGCGGTCTCTTTCAGATCTAGTGATTGGAACCTTTTCCACCTCGTTGCTCTTTCATGCTGACGGTCAAGTCGCACTGAGTTGGTTTCCGATCCAATCGAATGAAGGTTATAGACTTGGGGAAAGGGAGGTCAAGATGGAGAAGGCGAAGAAGCGTCTGGAGCTGAACTCGGACGAGTCAGAGACCGTGTCGCGAGTCGCCATCCCAGCTCTCCAAATCGGAAAGTCCAGCTTCTACGAAGCCTTCGCTCTGAGAGGTATCCTAGTCGAGCGAGTCGAACCCGGTGTCGTCCTCTGTTCTTTCAAGGTCCCTCCCCGCCTTGTCGTGAGTCATCTAATTAATCTATATGTTTAGATTTTGTTATTTAATACTTAAATTGTTGAAATTAATTAACTTGGATCTTTTTTATTTAGTTTAGCAAAAACACCATTCATTTCATAATTTTCATGTACACTCTTTAAATCGAATGTAACGCCAAGTGACGGTACAATTCTTGATCATTAGACTAAGAGAACATTTCGTGAAAACACTTACGCTCATATGTGCTTTTAGCAATTCTAAGAAAACTATTGTGAGCGTATTCTTTTAAAATGACTGAAAATGTTTTTGGTAAAATTGATTTTGGGTTAAGTGCTATTTGGAAGAAGCACCAGATTTATGCTCTTGAGAAGCATTTCCGAAATTTGGCAAATGGCGCAATTGCATGTTCTTAATAATTTGTTTGCAGGATAGAGATGGAAAATTGGCAAATGGTGCAATTGCAAATCTCGTTGATATAGTTGGTGCCTCCGTAGCTTATATTCCGGGTCTCCCTATGAATGTTTCTGTCGACATATCGGTCTCTTATGTGTCGACTGCCAAGCTTCATGTAAGCCAAATCTTTCCACTCCGATCCTCATGTCTTCTTGATAAAAATGTGCTCCGATTTCGCTTGGTAATTGGTATCTTCCAATACCTTTAATCAACGGGGAGGAAATTCGAACTTTGTACATCTTCCGACATTAAAAAGAGATCGAAGTAGCATGAGGTCAACAGCTAGTTTGTTAACGCACACATGATCGTTGTATCAATCGATTCTTTGTCATCGGATGTCCCGAAGAGACCTCTAACTTTTTTGATGTCAAATTGCAGGACGAGCTAGAGATAACTTCAAGGGTTTTGGGACGAACAGGCGGTTACTGTGGAACGATGGTAACTTTCAGAAATAAATCAACGGGAGAGATAATAGCTGAAGGTCGACATTCATTGTTTCGTTCAAATGCTGGTCTCGTTCCCAAACTCTAAGGAGTCCTTCCCACATTCAGAACATATAAAGGGAACTCCCGAGGCCACAGGTTGGATCCTAATTGAACGTTGGTTTGTTTCTATAGTGTACAAGACGGAAATGATTTCATTTACGCGCTTAAGTACATGTTTTAGCATTTGTTCAGCCACGGAACAGAATATATTGTTGATATGCCTTTGATATTGAACAAAACGTACAAACATGTACGTGCATTTTCGACAATATAAACGTTATCTTGATCTCTCTGCGGCAAAGATTGATGTAAGTAAAGCCTTTTCCCAACGAAAGGGATCGTTTTACAAGTGTGATAGCAGGATCCTTGTAAGCGTAAATTACATCTTGATAAATTCAACTTCACAGGCCACGGAACCCCTCTGAAACATTGCAAATTTCTCGCATAACTCTTCTGTCATCTGCAAATAACTTGTATCAATTATCATCTTATCTAAAACTCTACCGTTCTTTAGCAAATACGTTGCAAGTTCCATCTCAATCTCCGCTGCTTGAATCCTCGTATGGCGATGGTCGTGACGTGTGACAACAAACAAATAGGCACAAATCCTGGTGGATTCCATTGAGGCTCTGAACATTTATGATAACACTTCACGCTCTGAACCATAATTTAAAGAATGAACGAATGAGAATTATCGCAAGAATTGTATATTGGTTCCATATTACGTAACGTATGAATACATCTTACTTCTAAGAAAAGATCTTTGAGATTAGCTGATCTCTTAAGACCCTCGGCTAGCAATTTGGCATAGTAGCAATCACAAAGAACCAACTTCAATTGCTTGAGATCAGAGCCATAGCAACCATTCTCTGTAGTATTAAAATCTTCGTCGTTGAAGTCTAAGGAGGTAACAGAAGTCCATACGTTCTTCCATCTTCGAGACAAAACGGTGGTCCTCACTCCCCACAGCATATTTTGTTCGTAGGAACGAAAGGATGTGACAGAGGACTGCATCTGGTAATGCGCCGATCCTATCTTTAACCATTGCTTGATGCTTTGATACCGAACCCATTCGTACCCCTAATCCCTTGTTATCAAAAAATGACCTAATTAATTGCAAAAACTGGTTAAAAGAGGCTTTTATACCCAAACACATGATGGAAAACTATCATTCATCTCTGTTTTAGTTACACACCATCTCAAGCGGAGAAAGAGAAATAATTTCCGCATACTCATTTTCATCTCTTGCAATGTTCACGAGAAACATGGCGTGCAGACGGAGAAAACTGGTGTGTGGAAAATACTTTTCTTGGAGAAATACATAAATTTTTTAATACCTTCATGTATGAGGCATCAATCAATAGTGGAAAAACAAATATAAACTCACCTTCATAGATAAAATGGAACAAAATCAAAGAAAATATATTCCTTGTTTTACACTTCTCATAGATGGAATTCAAAACATTAGGGTTTAGTAAGAGAAAGTACATGATGACTGAGCCCAGAAAAACACTAATGTTATCAGTAAAAGCTGTGATTGGTTGCTCAGAAACGGTGGGAAAAGCTATGAAAACGACAACCACGGCCTCAGTCTTAACGACGGCGGCTTTGCCATCTCCGCCACTTTGCAATAACTGCCGGGTTTTTTATATTAGATTTATAGGAAAGGGATCATTTCCTCCCTCCTAATCCACAAAATTAAGGGATTCGTATAGTTAAAATTTGATTAGACAAGTACAAATAGGAGTTCATTTTAAAAGTTATAATAATTTTAACCGTTGGATCAAATTTTAACGACACAAATATTCCGATTTGATAGATTAGGAGGAAAAGATTAAAAAATAATCTATTTTTCTTTCACATTAGATGTTAAATTAAACACTAAATGCAAATAGTCAATTCCTTTTCACCGTTATAATAAATGGTCACTTGCTTCTCGCTCTAAGTCAAAGGGAGAGAGAGAAAGTGGGAGCGGAAGTCTTTTATTTTTTATAATTTGAGTCTGAGGTGTCCAACGGGCCGGTTCGATCTGGCTCATTGAAAGTTGGTACGTGTTGGTTATGGCTGTTTTTGAGTTTGCCCACTTGATAAATGAATCGCGGTCCTAGCCCATAAAGACCAGGGCCGTGTGGGGCCGAATCATTAAACGGGCTTACTTTTGCAAAACAAAATTTAATTATTTTAAAATAAATAAAATAACTTATTTGAACATGTTATAAAATACCCGAAACCCGATTTCCGTCGTCACTCTCAGTGGCGACTGTGACTTTCTCCGCCACTGCGCGCTTCCACCATGGCCTCTGCAACTGCAATCCGAACTTCTTATCTCACTCTCTCCCGAGACCGAAACGTTCCGAAACCCGAATCGCCGAAATTCCAGCTCCCTCCGCGTTTCGTCGACTCGCAGAACCGAAACACCCGATTCCGAGACGTTTCGTCGGCGAGCTCACTGCAGAGAATTCGACTGCGGCATGACTCAGCCGAGCTCCGCCTCGTTCTCCCCCACCGATTTAGGGTTTCTTCCAACGACGCTCAGTTCGGCTCGTTTTCGGTGGAGAACGAAGTTCAGGCGCCGAGTTTCGCCGAGTTTATCACATCGGAGCGGGTCAAAGTTGTGGCTATGCTTGCTTTGGCTCTGGCTCTCTGTAATGCCGACCGTGTTGTGATGTCGGTGGTGATTGTGCCGTTATCGCTTTCTAATGGCTGGAGCCGATCGTTTGCTGGTATTGTTCAGGTAGTTTTCTCTCCTCATCTCTCTTTTCTTTCTTAATTTTTGTATTTTAATTTCGGTTTAAGTAATTTTCTTTGAATTTATGAAGTTTATGACCACATAAAGTTTTGAAATTTGTAATGCCTTCGGCTGAGGGAATGCTCCCAAACACCAAAGAGTTGAACTTGATCCAAATAATTGGTGTTTATGATGAAAAGTGTTTTTTTTTTTTTTTTTTTTAAATATTTTAGCAAGTCCTATAAATAGATCTCTTATGAAGAAGCAATTTAGATGTGTGGCTTGTTTGGAATTGTTTTTAAAAGCACTTAAAAGTGCTTCATGCAAAAGCACCAAGTGTCATACTGGTGTGCTTCTTGCATGAAGCATTTCAAGTACTTGTCTGGGCTGACTATTGATTCCAAAAACATAACGAGCTCGTGAATGTTCAATCTATGGACTCAATTTCTCATTATTACTATGGAAAGTGATTTCCGCAAGTGCATTTTCTCTCCTTGCACACCCATGTTTATTTTTGCCTTCGGATTGAATAAATCAATTGAGAATCAAGGGACGTAATAAACATGGTGTGCAAAAGGACGGAACGGATGTGCGGAAATGATTTCTTTATTATTATTTTTTAAGCTAAAACAGTTGAACTCATGGGTTTTCAACAAAATCGCTCTAGAAATTGTTTTTGTTGATAGTAAGGAATCTGAAATACTCATTTGAAAAAACATTTGGCAGTCATCTTTCCTTTGGGGGTACCTTGTTTCTCCCATAGCTGGAGGGACTCTTGTGGACTATTATGGTGGTAAGGTAGTCATGGCCTGGGGAGTGGCTTTGTGGTCTTTAGCAACCTTTCTTACACCGTGGGCTGCGGAAAATTCTCTATGGGCCCTCCTTGCGATGCGTGCTCTCCTTGGAATTGCAGAAGGAGTGGCTCTTCCATGCATGAACAACATGGTAGCGAGGTGATGGCGGTCTCCAAACTTCCTTTTTGGATTTACCAATCACATTAAAGCCAATTTAATGATGTTCTTACTGGTGTTTTTTGGTTAAATTGTTGGTGGAGCTAAAATGTTGACCAAGGTATGAACTTTGTGTTTCAGGTGGTTTGCTCAAACAGAACGAGCCAGGGCTGTTGGACTTGCAATGGCCGGATTTCAGCTTGGAAGTGCAGTAGGACTCATGCTTTCTCCAATCCTCATGTCACAAGGTGGTATATTTGGACCATTCGTGATATTTGGTTTATCTGGATTTCTTTGGGTTTTGGTGTGGTTATCTGCAACATCAAGTACTCCTGACCGAAATCCTCAAATATCAAAATATGAATTGGATTACATATCAAACAAGCGGCAGAAGTCCTTTTTGGTGGAGAATAAACCTAAGACAGCCAAAGTGATCCCTCCTTTCAGGCGCTTGCTCTCTAAAATGCCAACCTGGTCCATAATAGTTGCAAATGCCATGCACAGTTGGGTAATGCATATACATCTCATGCCAGGTTATTCTACTCTGAGAATCATATTGTTAATCTCGTTTACATGCGTTGAATATAACAAGATCTAATGGGCAAAATCCCTATGGATAGCTTTTTGTGAATTCATATTTACTTTGTATCCTTGTATGGAAATTGTATATGTCAGCCCAGACTGATTATTTTTATTTCATTTCGCAGGGTTTTTTCATATTTCTTTCCTGGATGCCCATTTACTTCAACTCTGTAAGGCCTAATGTTTTGTTAGAAGTAGTGGTTCTATCCACTACGTAAGTTTAGGGTTAAGTATGTAAGCAGTTTCAACTGCATGGCGAAATAAGCCCTAGAATCTAGGGATCAGTTTCTTTTTCAGACTTAGTCTTCTACCACGTTTAGGTTTATGTTCAACGTGGGCTGCATGTTTTCATTCAGTTATTGTGTAAGGCTTATTAAAAGCCTGTTGGTTATTCATTCTATATTAACGTAATTTCTCATAGCTTGCAAAAGATCTCGGCTGACAAAACTCGGATTCAACATTTGGTATCAGAGCCCCAACCTGGGGTTTCTGATTAAAACTTGAGAGAGAGTAACTTTTGAGTAAAGTTATACGAGAATATGGCAGGAGAAGGAAGTGGTTTTGTGCAAGCATCCATTCCGAAACTGGATGGGCATTATGACCATTGGGTGATGCTTATGGAAAATTTTCTACGTTCAAAGGAGTATTGGAGTATTGTAGAGCATGGAATCACTGCAGCAGCAGAAGGAGCCTCAATCGTGGAAGGACAAAGGAAGGTGCTTGAGGATCAAAAGTTGAAAGATCTAAAGGCTAAGAATTATTTGTTTCAAGCAATTGATCGAGCTGTTCTGGAAACAATCTTGAACAAGGATACGGCTAAGGAGATCTGGGATTCGTTGAAGCAAAAGTATCAAGGAACTGCTCGTGTCAAGCGAGCACAGTTGCAGGCACTTCGAAAGGAATTTGAGATGCTTCACATGAGGACAGGAGAGACTGTGAATGAGTTCTTTGGTCGAACTCTGACCATAGCCAACAAGAGAAGAATCAATGGTGACAAATTGACAGATGTAGAAGTTATTGAGAAGATTCTGAGATCGATGACTCCTAAGTATGATTATGTGGTTTGTTCAATTGAGGAATCTAAAGATTTAGATCTTCTCTCAATTGATGAACTGCAAAGCAGTTTGTTGGTACATGAACAGCGGATGATCGGACATGTTATGGAGGAGCAAGCATTGAAGGTGGTCTATGAAGAAAACTCTGGAGGAAGAGGACGTGGTCGAGGAACCTTTCGCGGAAGAGGCAGAGGGAGAGGTCGACAAACTTTCAACAAGTCAACAATTGAGTGCTATAATTGTCATGAATTAGGGCACTTTCAGTTTGAGTGTCCTATGAAAGACAAGGAGGCAAAGGTCAATTATGCTGAGGCTAGTGAAGAAATGTTGCTAATGGCATATGTAGATGCTCCAGATGTCAAAGAAGATATTTGGTTTCTCGACTCGGGGTGCAGCAACCATATGTGTGGTAAGAGGGAGCTATTTCTCGACTTTGATGAAAGTTTTAGAGAAAGTGTGAAACTAGGGAACAATACTAGTATGACAGTTTTGGGGAAAGGAAACATTAGACTACAAGTGAGTGGGATAACTCAGGTGATCACAGGGGTTTTCTATGTGCCTGCTTTGAAGAACAATCTTCTAAGCATTGGTCAGCTTCAGGAGAAAGGTCTTGCTATTCTCATTAAACATGGAAGATGCAAGATCTTTCACCCTGAGAGAGGACTGATCATGGAGACTGTTATGGCTGCAAATCGCATGTTTATTATTGTTGCTCAACATCAAATCAGTGTCCAAGCATGCTTCAATGCTCTCACAGATGATCCAGTTCAGCTGTGGCACTGTCGTTATGGACACCTAAGTCTTGGTGGATTAAAGACTCTTCAACAGAAGCAGATGGTGAGTGGACTGCCTCAGATAAAGGATTTTTCAAGAGTGTGTGAGAATTGCATGGTAGGCAAGCAGCCGAGAGATCCCTTTCCAAAAAGGAGTACCTGGAGGGCTTCTCAAAGTCTACAACTCATTCATGCAGACATATGTGGACCAATAACGCCTGCATCCAACAGTAAGAAGAGGTATCTACTGACTTTTATTGATGATTTTACTCGCAAAACTTGGGTCTATTTCCTGGTAGAGAAGTCAGAAGCTTTTCGATTCTTTAAAGCCTTCAAAAGTCTTGTTGAGAATGAGACTGATGCAAGCATTAAAAGTCTGCGCACAGATCGGGGAGGGGAGTTTACATCTCATGAGTTTGTTGAGTTTTGTGTTGAGAAGGGGATTCAACGACAGTTAACTGCAGCCTACACTCCGCAGCAAAACGGAGTAGCTGAACGTAAGAATCGAACCATCATGAACATGGTTCGAAGCCTACTCACCGAGAAGAAGATGCCAAAGACATTCTGGCCTGAAGCAGCAAACTGGACAGTTCATGTGCTCAATAGAAGTCCCACACTTGCAGTGAAAAACAAAACACCAGAGGAGGCATGGAGTGGTACGATACCATCTGTAAGTTATTTCAGGGTTTTTGGGTGCATTTCATATGTGCACATTCCAGACAACAAGAGAACCAAGCTGGATGATAAGAGTATGAAGTGTGTGCTACTTGGGGTTAGCGAAGGGTCCAAAGCCTATCGGCTATTTGAACCAGTCTCACAAAAGATCATAATTAGTCGTGATGTTAGATTTGACGAGAACAGTAGCTGGGTTTGGGATGAGCATCATCATGAAGCTGTCATAGCAGATTTGGAATGGGATGATGATGAAGACACAACAAGTGAAGCTAATGATGTTGACAGTGAGGGAGGAGCTGAAGATGGATTCGATGGAGATGGCAATGATACAAGCAACAATAGTGGATCAGATGAAGTTCCAGAAACAAATTCATCCAGTTCAGAAGAAAGGAGACCAAGAAATCCGCCTGTATGGATGCGAGATTATGTGACAGGAGAGGGTTTATCTGAAGAAGAGGAAGCCACGGTGCATTTGGCTTTTCTTGCGAGTAGTGATCCAGTGCATTACAATGAAGCTGTGCGAAATGTCAAATGGAGGAAAGCTATGGATGTTGAGGTAGCAGCCATTGAAAAGAACAACACTTGGGAATTGACAGATCTACCTCAAGGGGGGAAGATAATTGGAGTTAAATGGGTTTACAAAACTAAACTAAATGAGAATGGAGAGGTGGACAAGTACAAAGCTCGGTTGGTGGCAAAGGGATATGCTCAAGAATATGGGATTGATTATGCTGAAGTCTTTGCTCCTGTGGCCAGGTTAGATACCATTCGAATTGTGATTGCACTTGCTGCTCAAAGGGAATGGACAATTCATCAAATGGACGTAAAAAGTGCTTTCTTACATGGGGAAATCAACGAAGAAGTATTCGTGGAACAACCACCTGGATATGTGCAGAAAGGTAAGGAGCATAAAGTTTACAAACTAAGGAAAGCTTTATATGGACTTAAACAAGCCCCTCGTGCTTGGTATAGTCGTATAGAAGCTTATTTCTTGAAGGAAAGGTTTGTGAAGTGTCCTCATGAACACACTTTGTTCATCAAAGCAGGAGAAGGAGGTAACATTCTCATTGTTTGTCTTTATGTTGATGATCTCATTTATACTGGCAATGATGAAAGCATGTTCAGTAAGTTTAAGCAGTCGATGATGAATGAGTTTGAAATGACTGATCTTGGTAAGATGAGATACTTCCTTGGAATTGAAGTATTGCAAAAACCAGATGGAATATTCATCTGTCAAAAGAAATATGCTCAGGAAGTGTTGGAGAGGTTTAATATGGGGAATTGCAATCCAGTGCATAATCCTATTGTTCCAGGAACCAAGCTAACAAAGGATCTGACAGGTGAGAGGGTCGACAGCACTTACTACAAACAAATTGTAGGGAGTCTCATGTATCTCACAGCTACTCGGCCTGACATTATGTTTGTGGTAAGTTTAATTAGTAGATTTATGGAAGGTCCAACAGAAATGCACTTGGCAGCAGCAAAAAGGGTTTTGAGATATGTAAGAGGCACGATCGGCCTTGGAGTTTTTTACAGAAAGGGAGAACACGCTGAGCTCAGAGGCTATACAGACAGTGATTATGCAGGTGACTTGGACGATAGAAAGAGTACATCAGGATACTTGTTCATGTTAGGTTCAGGAGCTGTGTGTTGGTCTTCCAAGAAGCAACCGGTGGTTACACTATCAACAACTGAAGCTGAATTCATTGCAGCAGCTTCATCTGCTTGTCAGGCAACCTGGTTAAGAAGGATAATGAAAGACTTAGGTCAAGACCAGCAAGGCTCTACAACGATTTTCTGTGATAACAGTTCAGCAATAAAGCTCTCCAAGAATCCTGTGCTGCATGGTCGAAGCAAGCACATAGATGTACGGTTCCATTTCCTTCGTGAGCTGACTAAGGATGAAATTGTGCAACTGGTTTATTGCAACACTCAGGAGCAAATAGCAGACATACTAACCAAGCCATTGAAGACTGAAGCCTTCCTGAAGTTGCGAGAGTCTATGGGGGTGTGTTTGGAATCAAATGTAAACTGATTGCTTAGCAGTCAGTTTAAGGGAGGATGTTAGAAGTAGTGGTTCTATCCACTACGTAAGTTTAGGGTTAAGTATGTAAGCAGTTTCAACTGCATGGCGAAATAAGCCCTAGAATCTAGGGATCAGTTTCTTTTTCAGACTTAGTCTTCTACCACGTTTAGGTTTATGTTCAACGTGGGCTGCATGTTTTCATTCAGTTATTGTGTAAGGCTTATTAAAAGCCTGTTGGTTATTCATTCTATATTAACGTAATTTCTCATAGCTTGCAAAAGATCTCGGCTGACAAAACTCGGATTCAACATGTTTAGCTATAATTTCATTTTCGCTTCCTATCGTGAGTGTTGTGTAGCTTATGTATGACTCTCGATCTACTTCAGGTGTACCATGTTGACCTCAGACAGGCAGCTTGGTTTAGTGCTGTTCCATGGAGTGTCATGGCAGTCATGGGATATATTGGTGGTTTGTGGTCAGACATATTGATACGAAATGGTACGAGTATGAATTGAATTTCTAATTGCTTATTGAATGTGAATATTGTTCCTTCTCTGCAGTCAATCGGTTTCGTTGGTCCTGGGATAGCTCTTGTGGGTTTAATTACAGCAAAAAGTCCAGCAGTTGCATCTGCTTGGCTTACGTTAGCAGTCGGGCTGAAATCTTTTAGTCACTCTGGTTTTCTTGTGAATCTCCAGGTTGGCATTAGAGAATGTTATTAAAGTCAACTATTTGATGGTAGTTGGTACCTAGAATTAATTCTTTATTTGTTTGGTGTGACTTAATTAATATTTTTTTTCTTTAACCAGGAGATCCAGTACTCCGGTGTTTTACATGGTATGTAAAATTAGAATAAATTTTCAGTATATTAATGCTTCCAAGGCGTTGTGAAATAACTTGTTAATATGGTAAAATTTGATGTTATCCCGTTATTTATTGTGTTAGGAATTTCAAATACTGCTGGAACATTTGCTGCCATTTTGGGAACAGTTGGAGCTGGTTTCTTTGTTGAACTCGTGGGTTCTTTCCAAGGATTTCTATTGCTTACATCGCTCTTATATATTCTTGCTGCCCTTTTCTACGTCGTCTTTTCTACTGGAGAGAGAGTAAATTTCGATGAACCTGGTAAGTATCATCGTTATCGATTCTTCAAATTTGATTTTCCTTCCAACCCCCTGCCCCGCTTTTAAACTTCCATTTGGTATTGTGGAGATTTGACATAATAACCAATTTGTTGCTTTGTTATACAGTTTAAGCATTTACATGGTTTTAAATTCCTAACATGTTGGCAGTTTTATATCCCTAATGAAATTGGATTGTGCATTGACTTTTGCTTGACAGTTCATGAATGATATTTAAAGGCTGCTGATGAAAGCATCGATTGATGATGACGATGATGATGCGTTTTCAACTGTAACTAACGGAGCAGTCATGGAATTGGACAGAACGTTGGAAGTCAGACTCGACGAATGGTACAGATCGTTCGAAGACATCCGTTGTACAGATAAATAACCTTTTTGTTCATTGTATGAATCCAAAGTGTGTAAAGTGGATTTTCTAGTAGTGTTCCTCTTCCTCGTGCGTCATGGTTTGTTTCAGGTGCATATGGGAATTCTGATTACCAAATTTTGTGAAAGATATGTGTAAATACGTTCCAGAGGTACGATGCCAGATTCTTTGTCCTTGTTTCCTCGTTGATTGATTGCGGTTCATATTATTCATCCAAGCATGAACGACTAACGGAAGTATTTCATCCAAATGTATGTCAATATCAGTCTTTGTCTTTTTGATATTAAGTAAAAAGTTGAAAGGTCACAAGCACATGCTGAAAATGATGATTTGAGCAAAAGAAAATTGATTTACGTGAATCCCATTTTCTCCTTTTTGCACTCGTTCATTTATTTATGTCTTTTAATTCTTTTTTAATTTATTTAATTCTACGGGTTAGAAAAAGAAAAGACAGTACATGAGAGGAGAAAAAGGAAGTGCGGATATAACTTCTCTGGATCGAAAGGGGGATGCAATCATGCAACAAGGCAAAAGCTTTCAATCAATTCAGGTGATGTGACCCGCCCTGCAACTTGGGTTGCCACTATAATCTGCAGCCTATTACAATATCCTCCAATTTTGACCAAATACTATTCTTCTTCTTTTTTAGGGTTAACACATCCAATTCTTCTACTGACCAAATCATAACATTTGATTAGGAGCAAATTCCAGACACGTCTCGAGTTAGACTTTTGACGCTGGTGAATTACACGATAGTGGTCAAAATGAGGCTTCCTGTATGAGTCTTCCTGACCTCTACGAGAGTGAATTGTCGTAATAAAGCTACCAACGGATCCCTTTTAAAATATTTAACTGAAAATGCTGTTGCTGATTTGTCCTCCATCAAAACTTGGGATGGCGACTAATCCACAAAGTCACTTGAATTAGTCTTACAAAACATAACATTAGTGGGAAAATCCAAAATTTAAGACTTTAGTAAACATTCAATTATATTATTAAATAAAATTTTATAGGTAGAATCATAATACAAGAAAGCTACTTGTAAACAACAAAGCCAAATGTTGATCAAAATTGCATCAGACGGCCAAAAACTCCATATCTTCTGGCAATGAAGAGAACACCAAGTCCTCATACTCCGCAGGCAAATCAGAGAAAGCAAATCGCCAGTTTCCGGTATGAAGATGGTAACAAGAACAAAGCTGAGCACAAAAGTCTTCCTGTCCTGAGGCATATCAAGGTTGCCATGAAGAAAGTTGCCGGGATTTTCACAGCTCTTTTCGGACAGCGAAAGGCCGCCTCAAAGGCTGCTGCTTTGATTGAAACAAGAAGAAATGATTCTCGAATCCGGGGGATTTCGTGTAAGTTTTTACTTCCATATTGGTTCTGCGCAGATCTATAATAAACATGTTCAGAAGTGCTTTTGGAAGAGCTAAAAGCGTTTTCGGATACAATTGGATTTTTATTGAAAATTTTGGATGTAATTTGAATAAAAGCGCCTTTGAGTATAAGTGCTTTCCATTGAAGCATTTCCAAATGGACTTATAATCATGTGTTTTGCAGCTTGGTAAATACCATATGCAGATGCATAGAAATTTTCAACTTGGTAGATACTGGATTCGTTTGACAAGTTAATTTTGAAAAAGCACTCGAAGTGCTTCCAGCAAGAAGTACATAGCAGGTGTTTTTAGCAGGAAACACTTCAAGTGCTTTTACAACCCAAAACATTTTCTTCAGTCATTTAAAAGCACTTGCCAAACGAACAGTGCTTTCAAAAATCAAAGATTGAGAAGTTAGTTTTGTTAATATTGTCCTATGCGCTGCAGCTTCAACTGATCGTTCGTCAGGGAGTGATACTAGGAGTAAGAGCTCGTCAAAGTTAAAGATCTCTCAGTCCGTCAGTTTTTCCAGTGGATTAATTGAGACGACGAACTTCTCTTACGAAGAGATTCTCAAAGCAACCGAAAAATTCTCTCCAGCAAATAAGATTGGTGAGGGTGCATTTGGAACGGTGTACAAGGGAAGGCTTGCAGATGGATCTCTTGTTGCTGTAAAGCGTGCTCGGAAGGTATAGAAATTTATGCCTCGTAATTGATTGTAGTACCTTTTACATTGAGAAACAAGCGGAATCCTTTTAATTGGTAAAGCATTGTTCCGACAATAGTTAATCTCATTTTCTATTAGCTTGCATAACGACTTAAAATTTGTGCAGGCTGCATCTGACAAGATCTTAGAAACGGCGTTTAAGAATGAAATACGTACCTTGTCAACGATCGAGCATCTGAATTTGGTAAGGTTATATGGATATCTGGAGCATGGAGATGAGCGGATTATTGTGGTTGAATATGTTGCAAATGGAACGCTTCGCGAGCATTTGGATGGTAAGTCTTATGAAAACTTAGTTATGAAACTCAATAGGGTTAGTCAGTAGAAGTCGGAGAGCATAAACAAATGTTAACTTTAAGTAACAAAAAGAGTTAGATAAATCGAACTAGAATGAAAAGTGATGGAAAATTTATGGTAAAGATATGATTCTGCTATGAAAAGAAGAGAGTATTCGATCTGGTTCGCCTTACCATGACTAGTGAAGGATCATTGGCAGTGTCCTGTTTCCTTTTTCCTTCAGTTGAAAAAATTAGCTTTTTAGTTGTCTGGTTGTGTTTTACATGAAGCTCGGAACACTTTTCCCGCCATGGAAGCTCTGTATTTTTCTTCTTTTCTGTGATAATTAGGTAATCCGAATATCATCAGAAATGGATTTGGATCCTCTCCTAAGCTAATGGAGAGGATCCTCATGACCAATCATCGTGGAACGGCTACAAACAGGGGTCTCTTTAAAGTTATAATGATTGTAGCCGTTGGATAAAAATCCAACGGCCCATGATGATTGGTCAGGAAGATCCTCTCCATTAGCTCAGGAGAGGATCCAAATCCATCAGAAATAACATACTACTAATCCAGAAATGTATATAAAAATAGTCCTCTTTTCATGAAGGTACAAATGGAAATGAACTTGAAACCGGAGAACGTTTGGACATTGCTATTGATGTGGCTCATGCAATCACCTATCTTCACATGTATACAGGTGTGTACATCATTTTCAATCCAAATTACTCGACCGATAAAGATGTTTTCATCTTGCTTCCCATTTAATTTGATTAGGCTATTATTGTTAAGGCATTTGACAACCTGAATCGTCTCATGTATTTGACAGATCCTCCGATAATCCACAGAGACGTAAAATCTTTAAACATCCTCATCACAGAGAAACTTCGGGCTAAAGTGGCGGACTTTGGGTTTGCACGATCGTCTGCAGACCCAAATGCAACTCACATTTCAACTCAAATCAAAGGAACGGCAGGATACTTGGACCCCGAGTACCTCAAAACTTATCAACTCACCGTAAAGAGCGATGTTTACTCCTTTGGTGTCGTGCTTGTAGAACTTATGACAGGAAGACGACCCATCGAACCAAAGAAGCCAACCAATGAAAGAATTACAACAAGATGGGTAAGAGTATATTCATTTTAGGGTTATTATACAAAATGGTTCCTGAGATTTGCATGATTAATAGAAATGATCCCTGATATTCAAAATCAATAGAAATGGTTTTTAAGTGTCCACCATCCATGATTTTGGTCCTTCCGTTAAAAACTCTTTGGGCAATTTTCAAAGCTTCATAACTCAATCGATTCTTAACCAAATTCAATCCGTAATATATCAAAATAAAGATAAGAAAGTGCAGAACAAGATTATACATATTTGGAAGCCCAATGATTGCTCGAGATGGCCGGAAAATAACCTGAAAGGTGACTGGTCCGAGGGAAAACTGGAAAACTCGACGGAAACTAGGTAAACTTTAAATGTTCAAAACTTCTTCAATACTCAACCAAATCGAGTGATTCAAAATGAAAATAATACTTCTTGACAAGACGAAGAGAATGGTATCTTTCTTTACTGCTAACTCGCCGTGGTTTGGCCACTTTCAAGCCTTTGTCCGACCAAACCACAGCGAGTTAGCCTTCGAAAAAGGTATCATTCTCTTCGTCTTGTCAAGAAGTATTTTTTTCGTTTTGAATCACTCGATTTGGTTGAGTATTAAAGAAGTTATGAACGTTTAAAGTTACCCAGTTTCCGGCAAGTTTTTCAGTTTTCCTGCGGACCAGTAACCTTTCAGGCTATTTTTCCGCCATCTTCTACACTTTCCTATCTTCATTTTGATATATTATGGGTCAAATTTGGTTAAGAAACGATTGAGTTGCAAAGTTTTGAACATTGCTCAAAATCATTTTTAACGGAATGACCAAAATCATGGATGACGGAATGACCAAAATCATGGATGACGGAATGACCAAAATCATGGATGGTGGACAATCTCAAGACCATTTCTATTGATTTTGAATCTCATGGACCATTTCTATTGATCATGCAAATCTCAAACATCATTTTGTATAATAACCCCTCATTTTAAGCATCTTGACATTACTAAACCGACACAAAACTGGAAATTTGTTGGGATGTCTGTTTCTATATGTTGCTTCGCGGTAAAATCTGCCCAGAGTTCCACCTAACATGATTAATTAGTCATTGCTCAAGTTTTGTTTTACTCTAAATCTCCCCGATTTATTGTAGTTCCGACATTCATCACATGTTTCTGTTAAACTTTAGACAATCTGTCACTCATGACATATTTCTATAGAGCATAAAGGCAAACCACATGAGTCTAGCTCTTGTAACATCCACCTTATTCCTCATTGCATTTACATGCGAAACATTCATCAAATGAAACCGCTACAGTTGCGGTAGATCATTTCATCCTCCTCTTCAGATGTCCTGTTCCCATGTGTTATAGACAAACATTCATCAAATGAAACATTAGCCTAACCATGTGTACATCTGCAGGCAATCCAAATGTTGAAACGAGGAGACGCGATACTTGTCATGGATCCAAGGCTACGGAGAAGCCCGGCATCAACGATGGTTTTGGAGAAAGTCCTCCTGCTAGCTCAGGAATGCCTTGCACCTCTAAGAAATTCAAGACCCTCCATGAAAAAATGTGCTGAAGTGTTATGGGAAATTCGAAAGGACTTTCGAGAAAAATCCCTCCCTTCTTCCTCTGATGTTCCTTTTTCTGCGAATTATCCCGTCAGAGATGCAAAGATGACTCGGCAGACATCGTTTGGGATTCAAGATGATGATTGGCAGAAATTTATCTCTGCCTAACTTATAAGAATTTTGAGTGAAATTATTTACAGAAAATTGTTTTCTTCTTCTATCCAAGTGTTTAGTTAGTACATCTATGTAAAAAAGAAACGTCTTTTTGTATATAACCCAATATTCAAATATTAAATTTCAATGGCAATCGGATTTTATTACGAACCAAAGTTGACGTCTAACTAGCAACTAATGCAAGATAAATTAACTTTTTAAGTTAAATTTGTAAACTATATAATATGTCATCAATAAAAATAAACACGTTAATCACGGAAAATCACTTTTTATGCTTCCAAAACCGATGGCGGACTTTTGGAAAAAGCACTTCACATACAACAGTGTTATATTGTACCACATCATTATTTTTTTTCGGTTACATCATATCATTATTCCATCGTAGTAAAACCATAACAGTGACATAATAAAATAGTGAAACTGTACTATTATCTCATTTTATCTTCTTGACTCTCTTTGTCATCTTGCAATTAAGAAAGTCAATAGCAACCTTTTATTTAAATATAAAAAAATAATGTGCATTACTTTTCATACATAAACTCATTTGGAAGTGCATTTAAAATAGCTGAAACTGTTTTTGATGAAAATATTTTTTAAATCAATCCTTAGTAAAAATGCAAGTAAACATGGAAAGACACTTGAAGTGCTTCAGACAAGAAGCACCATTTTTATGTGCTTCTTGCAAGAAACACTTCAAGTATTTTTGGAATCCAAATTTTTTTTTTTCAAAAACTCTTTCATTTTAAAAATATTTCCAAATAAGCTTATAAATGCAAAAGACGTTGCTTTGCTCATTAATATGCAAAAAATCTCATATTACATCAAATACGTGCGCGTGAGCGATTGTTATTAGCATAGCTTAACTTTGTTGAGCTTTGTCCCTAACCTCATGGAAGAGTTCTTATAATGCACACGTGATCCAAGGCACCTTGGATCAAACGAAGCCACGTGGCGTCCCTAACTAAGCATAGGAAAGGCAAAAGAAACCATCAAAATCTGATCTCCAATTGAAGCAAAGCTTGTCATGTGATTGTGCACCTCTCACTCACTGCCACACACACACCCGCCCACTTTTGGCTCCATTTTCATGTGACCGTTCACGTTCACGTTCACTTCACTCCACCAAAACAAATCACGAAAAAGAAAGCAAAATATATGAAAATTTAGGACCTCCCTCCTACAGTCTTCTTCTTCTTCTCCTCCTTCTCCTTCCTCCTCTCTCTCTCCTCTCTCCCTCTCTGATATTTTTAGTTTACCTACAAAACACACACACACACACACTCTCTCTCTCTCTACACTTTTGGCCTTTATACGAAAATATCTGCTCCCCTACACTCAGATTCTCTTTTAAATTCCTTTATGCTAATAATTTTCAGCTGATCATTTCATCACTCTTAAGAACCTCACACTCCCAAAAACCAAAAACCCACTTCAAAGATGTAATCTTTTCTCTCTTCCTCTTCTGGGTTTCTGTTTACAGTGTGAGTTCGACACTAATTTGGTAATTTTGCTTTGATTTTTCAGATACTATTGAGGATTGAGAAGCCGCTGGAAGCTCAGCCATGGCGCCTACTGCGAAATCGAACGGGAAAACCATCACAGGACTCCGCCATTTCGTCCAAGATTCCGGCAACCGCAAACCCTTTAGCAGAAGAGCCGTCGCAGATTGCTTCCAACATCAATTACCACGCCAAATTCAGCCCCCACTTCTCGCCGTTCAAGTTCGAGCCGGAGCAAGCCTACTACGCCACCGCCGACAGCGTCCGCGATCGCCTGATCCAAGTACTGTACCGCCGTTTCTCCAGCCTCCGGGTTCAATCTTGGTCGATTTCCATTTTTTAAATTTTGTTTGGTTTTCTTTTTTTGTAGCAATGGAACGAGACGTACCTGCATTTCCACAAGGAGAATCCCAAGCAGACTTACTACTTGTCCATGGAGTATCTTCAAGGACGAGCCTTGACCAATGCGATTGGGAATTTGAATGTTCAGAGTGCTTATGCTGAGGCTTTGAACAAGTTGGGGCATCAGCTGGAGGAAATAACAGAGCAGGTAATCTCCGAAAGATACAATTTTTGTTCAATTATATTGTAAAGATTGAGTTTTTGTTCTTTCACATAATTAGAATTTGTGCGTGTACTTTTAGTGCTGTTGAAATGAATTATAATTGTTGCCTCAGGAGGTTGTTAATCATTTGAAATGGATTCTTAATTGGTTTTCGTTATATGAAGTCGACGTATAATCTGTTGATGGATGATTGGTAGAAATGAATCTTTGTAGGAGAAAGATGCAGCACTCGGAAATGGTGGGCTGGGAAGGCTTGCTTCGTGCTTTCTAGACTCCATGGCAACATTGAATTTGCCTGCGTGGGGGTATGGTTTGAGGTACAGGTACGGGCTGTTCAAGCAACGGATTGCCAAGGATGGCCAGGAAGAAACTGCTGAGGATTGGCTAGAGGTTCTGTATCACCTCAAGTTCTGTAAAATTTTATGTTTTTCATGAGTTCTTACTGATATGTTTTTTGATGGAATTTGTGCAGAAATTTAGTCCTTGGGAAGTTGTCAGGCATGATGTTGTGTACCCTGTCAGATTTTTTGGTCGTGTTCATGTCAATCCTGATGGATCGTAAGTGTCAATACTGATAACAGAATTGATTATTACACTTTTCTAAAACAAAAAAAAAAAAACTATTTATCAATCATCAATGTCATAAATTCACGTACAACTTGGTTGGTTGCTTGAAATATAAGTACACTAACTCAGCAATTATTCTTGTGATTGTATTATAGCCGAAAGTGGGTTGAGGGAGAGGTTTTGCAAGCTCTGGCTTATGATGTGCCAATTCCAGGATACAAAACCAAGAACACTATTAGTCTCCGTCTATGGGAAGTCAAAGCATCTGCTGAGGATTTTAACCTATTTCAGTTTAATGATGGACAGTATGAATCTGCTGCACAGCTTCATTCTCGAGCTCAACAGGTTGGTTATTTATATCCTAATGGCAAGTTAGTCTTGGAACCACTTGCCAGTATTTCAAATCTTCAATAGACATTCAATCAAAAGCCTTTTAAGTTTACTATATCTACATATGTGTATTTGTATTACTCTGTGTGTGTGTGTGTGTGTGTGTGTGTGTGTGTGTACACACATAATACTAAGCTAAGTCTTTTTCTATAACTACTGTTCTCCCTTTCAATAATGTGTGTCACTACGTCTTCATGTTTTAAATGTTTTCTTGAACCACATTGTGATATGTGCTTTTTGCAGATTTGTGCTGTTCTATATCCTGGAGATGCCACAGAGGAGGGGAAACTTTTAAGGCTGAAGCAACAATTCTTCCTCTGCAGTGCATCGCTTCAGGTTGGTTAATTATCGTCTTATCCTTCATTGTTTTGTTGGCGTAAGCATCACCATTATTTTATTTCTTTCATTTGCTGTTTCAGATGACCATTTAATTTCCACATGTCATTAGAGAAGGTCAAAAGAATCTCACACCTTTAGAAAAATGTTTTCACATTGACATGTCCCCTCAAAGTGATGCTTGGGTTTAGCATTTCAGATTTTTATCTTCAATATGCAAAAATACATATCCAATCTTATCGTAAAGAGGCATTTTCAGTTGCTAATTTGTCATCTCAGTCCTTTTAAGATGTTTTGATCCTCAATCTTATAATCTTGAAATTACAGGACATTATTTTTAGATTCAAGGAGAGGAAACAGGGGACAGACACATTGCAATGGTCAGAGTTCCCAAAAAAGGTTGCTGTCCAAATGAACGATACTCATCCTACGCTGGCAATTCCAGAACTGATGCGACTGCTATTGGATGAGGAAGGTCTTGGGTGGGATGAGGCATGGGAAGTGACAACAAGGTGAATTATATTTCTTGTTGTTTTTAGGATTTCTTCCTGAAGTTGGCATACATTCTTCTTTCTTCAATGGCTACTCAGCTTGTTTGTAATGCTTTTTGCACAAGGAGCTATAAAGTACTAACACATAATAATTGAACCAGGACGGTCGCTTATACTAATCATACAGTCCTTCCTGAAGCACTTGAGAAATGGTCACAAGCCGTAATGTGGAAGCTTCTCCCTCGCCATATGCAAATAATAGAAGAAATTGACAAAAGAGTAATATTTCTCACCTTTTTTATTTGTTCTGTTTATGCTAAAGTTGTTATCTTCTAATGTACATTATTGCATCCTGGCAGTTCATTGCTATGGTACATGCTACACGAAGTGATCTTGAGAGCAAAATTCCCAGCTTGTGCGTCTTGGATAACAATCCCCAAAAGCCTGTAGTGCGAATGGCAAATTTATGTGTTGTGTCTGCACATACGGTAAGACATCTATTTGGGGAAATTTACAAGCATCTCCTATAGCTTATTTTGAGCTGTCTTCAACGTAAACATATGGTAACCTGATATGGTTATTAGAAATCTTCCAGCTTCCTTCGATAAACTATTATGAAAGGCAACTTATTCCGTTTTCCCCAAAGAAAAAGGGGTTAGGAAGAGATTGTATGCAATAGTGAATACAGAGTCTAAGACTGTAAGGTACAGTCCACCATGTACGTTGGTGAGACTTGAACTCAAGCTTTGAACGAGCAAGTTCTTCCCAGGAGGACACCCAATGGCAATCTGCATAAGTGCATATTTTGACTATTCTATTTTATATCCGAGTCCTATCTTATTAGTAAAATTTAATGAGGCTTGAGAATATATATATATATATATGTTCTGCTTTCCTTTTCTTTTTCCGTCCCACAATATAAGAACCCCTTATTTCCACTTTGAGCTGTTGAGTGTTCACTTCGAGAATCTCATTGTTTTCCGTGTCATTGTAGGTTAATGGTGTTGCCCAATTGCACAGTGATATTTTAAAAAATGAGTTGTTTGTAGATTATGTCTCCATATGGCCAACAAAGTTCCAAAACAAAACCAATGGGATTACTCCTCGCCGGTGGCTTCGGTTTTGCAGTCCTGGGCTCAGTAATATAATCACCAAATGGTTAAAAACGGATGAATGGGTTACCAACCTGGACCTACTTGTAGGTCTTCGAAAGGTATGCATCTCACATATATATGGAATTGTTTGTCCTTGTCAGATCGTTCCTGCAGTTGAAATATTAAAAGTCAGTATGTTTACTC